GAAGTTAATAATAATTTAATATATTACAAAATTAATGATGAAATTTTGTAATAATAGTATAAATTATGATTTTATGGATAATTAAATTCCATATATAACTAATATTTTAAAATGTAAATATTTTACATATTATTTAAGTATTTAAATGACTGGGTATTTTAAATAACAAAATATTCAACATAACTATATTTTAAATAGTTAAAATAAAGGAATTATGTAATAAATTTTAAAATTTTCTAAAAAGTAGAAAAATAATTATAACATAATATTGAAATTAATAATAATTTAATATTTTTACATAATATTATAAATAAATAATTTCACTTATATCAAGTAATAATTCGAGAAAATAACTTTCAAAAAAATTAATATTTATTAATAATAATTTTAAACTCTTAATCTGTATCTATTATATAATAATATATACTAAAATTAATATTTATTGTATTTCAGTAATTATTTGTTGTTTTTGTGATAAATGTATGTTCAATGATTATGTAGAAATTTATTTTGTTTTTTTATTTAGTAGAAAACTTTCAATAATTATTGGAGATTAAACTACAATTTGTGAAGTTTTTAAATTTAATTTATTGTATTTTTGTTATAACTTATTGATTAATATTTATTAGAGATTAAACTATTATTTGAGATTATACTATTTATTGACTAAGTTAATATATTTTTAGTACTTATTGTATTATTTTCATTTTCAATATTTTCAATAATTGTGTATTTTTGCTATATAATTTCAATAACTATTGGAGATTAAATTATTGCTATTTATTAGAGATGTGACTATTAATTTAACTGAAATTATGAGTATTCATGAGTTGGTTCGGTTCGGTCGTAGGCTATTTGGTCAACCAAATTGATGTGGTCAGGTTGGGGAGTTGGTAAGCAGAAACCGATTGACTTTTTGTGAAAACCGACCCACTCAAGTTGTATCGGTTTGGGTCGATTTTTTGGTTTCATTAGTCGGTTCAAAAGATTTAAACTTAAAAATTAAATTTAATTTTAAAAATTATTGTGCAATTATTAAAAAATAAATTTAAAAGTTAGATTTATGATATAAAACATTTTAGACTAAGAAATATGAGAAAATTTCCACTTTTCCATATTAAAAATTATATTTAAAATATAAAATATTAATATATATCCATGGTTAGGTTGTTCGATTTTGGTTGGTTTACAAATGGCCAAAGTGAAATTGATCCAACTTTTTCGAATTAAGAAATTTTTCAACCAAAGCCGACCTAAAATACTAGAAAACCAACCAACTCGGGTCGAGTTGATTGGGTTGGTCGGTTTCATCAGT